ACTCATCTCAGGAATTGAAGTAGAGTTGGAGATTAGAAAATCTATAAATGCTGTTCTCAACATTTACAAATTAAAGAGCAAAAAATGGAGTGGTTTTCTTAACAAACTGGGCAAACCATCCCATTCCTGGTAAGAACAACGCATGGTAGCTCACCTTTTTAATGACACGTTTAAAGTTCTGTTAGATTTAAAGCATAAATAATGCTGTGAGAGCTAGAGTAAGGATTGCCAAAACTCCTTTTGTGTTTGTTATTGATTTAAAAGATTACAATTTTAATAAAAGCAAAGCCTAGTATAAACAGGTAGTTAATCTCATGGATTTTGTCTGCGGATGACAAACCAAGGGCCATCCTTAGACTGGTGTGTGCAGTCCTGCACCTGCCCCGTCACCTGCAGCCCCACCACCTGCACCCCTCTTCTGACCACCTATGTTTCCATTGCACTGAGCAGTGTCCCAACCTGCTCCCATGCCCGCCCTGCCTGCCTCTGCCCACATGACCCTCAGCTCTTGCAGTAGCTAGAATAAATAAAACCACAGATGGCTACAGCCTTCCTCTGCCTCACAGCCCACAAGAGAGGGGCCACTATGAAGTTAAAGGCTCTCAGCTGGACGCTCCTCTCTGTGGACTTATGAGGAACCCCACCCACCTCCAAAGCACCACTCAAAGTAGGCTCCCAGATGACCGGCACCAGCAGACTCTCCCACTGAAGCACTCCCATGGGATGCCACCAGGAACTCCCAATATGTGGTTCACTGGTTAAGACAACAACCAAGGGGCCAATAAGTCACTCGTTACTGCTAGACAGATACGTAGTTTTAAAGTCAAGGAGAGACACTACCCGAACAGGAAGGTAAGGCTACCATATTAGAAGACCAAATTACCCTTGGTGTTCTTTTTTTTTTTTGCCAAGAATGTTACGACTCTAGAGATCAGTAAATCGGCACACTCCTGGTTTTACCAGTAGTACCAATTAGAAAGTGAAGAAGAAAGGAAATCACCCTCAAAACAGCTAAAACTGCAGAATGTTTAGGGAATTGTGTAGCTGGTGGTGGCCAGACTTTCCCCTGGGGTGGGAACAGGCCACTCTCCAGCAGCGCTGGTTCCTGGAGCCCTCCGGGGTTTGGGGGAGCCTCTGGTGGGCAGCACCAAGGTAAGGCATTCAGGGTGTGCTGTTGTTCTCAGACTCACCTCGAGGCTGGGCCTTTTCCAGTTGGCCACTTGCATGGGTCTTTCTGCTCCCTCCTGGCACCTCCTCTGATCTTCTGGAAGCTTCTGGGTCAAAGCTGCAGCATGTTCTCTGAGGGAGCAAGAGGAAATCCTTTCAGGTTGCCCTCACCAGCCAGCAGGCCATGTCCAGGCAGCACGGAGGACAGTGGGCCTTCATGTGAAGCTGTGCTCCGTGCTGGGGACGGTGGGGTGTGGCTCGGTTTCAGGCAGGACATGGCACGGGAGCACCGGCTTGTGCAAACAGTGGCGCAGGGGCTGGGGCCACCAGGGAAGAGCAGGGCTGAGCACGTCTGCCAAGAGGGAGGCACTGAAGGCCAGTTTTCCACATCACGGTTGATTTGGAATTGGACAGAATGAGAACACGACTCTCTCCAGGGGCTTTGCTTTTGTTCCTTTATTTACTAAGCAGGAGTCTCCAACACCAGCCATTCTAGTTCCAGGGTTTGCCCATAATGTGATCAGATGTTTGTGTGTTTACCTGCACCAGGCCGTGTCCTCCCCAGGGTCTGGACAAGATGAACTGGTCTGGGCTCCAGCAGAGGAAAGAAATCAAGGGACAGACACAGGAGGCTCTCAGAGTGAGAACTGGGCCTTGGCAGGGTGGAGCCAGACGGACCTTCACCTCAAGTCCTCCTGGCCAGCTTTGCACCAGGACCACCAGAAACCCAGCTCGGCCGGTCAACCGGCCATGATCTTAGAGGTCACCGGAATCGAAAATTAGAGCAAGGCTGCATGGCCATTTCATGATGTCCCTACTTCTCTCTTGAGTCTTCTAATCAAAATGAGCCATCTAGAGGTGGAAATGCCAGGTACTACAGCACACACTGGTGACGCAAAAACGCAAATAAGATGGCTGCTGGGCTCACGCTCACAGCACATTAGGGGAGAAATTGATAAGTGTTACAACAAAGGCATGTTAAGAAAGTGGTGGGGGCCCTGAGGAAGGGTCTGGATGGCTTGGGAGAGGTGGAGACCCTCAGAAGGTGAACAGGTGGATAAAGGAGAAAACCCCATCTAGCAGGGGCTCAGTACAACATTCAGTCACTTGTTCATTATACATTCAGCAACACATTGCCTGCTTTGCACCAGGCACTGTTCTAGATGTTGAGAATGGGGGTTTCCAACCCACAAAGGCTTCTGTGAATGGACAAATCTATTCATCTATCTCGTACACAAATGCTTCCCGGGCATTTGTCAAGGTCTCCACTGCTGAACCACTGATTTTCCCCAGGGAGGAAAACATTCCAAAGGACACAGGCACCAGCTTGAAGAGGGTCCTGATGACCAAGCCAGGATCAATTTGTCAAAATAAAATGAACATTGGCTGTAGCTCTTTGGGTGAAATAGGAAGCCCTGCGCCTGTGCCTTCTAGACTGTGGACCTAGTGGTGCCAACCCCAAGACTAGAACAGCTTGACACGTTTGAGAAAAACAGGAAGAAATAATGTCCATCTCAGAGAGAAAAAAAGAAGGATTAGTATCTTTCATATATCAGGCCTTCAACCAGGTCTATGGAAAGAAAGCAAAACAATCCAGAATAAAATATGAGCATAAAGAGGCAATTCACAGAGGAGAAAACACAACATGGAGATGAACCCCAAAAAGACGTTCAGGAAAAATCAAATAGGAAAAAGGATTTTTAAGACACCAAATTAATGGTTTTGGTAACTTTGTCTTTAAGTTCTTATTTTGACTCCAGAAAAACTTTGGAATGTTGTGGTGAACAATCAGTCACTGTTGCCTGGATTGTTCCACATTTGCAGAGAGGTAAAGAAAGAAGGGAGGACAGAGGGATTGACAGATGCTATGTTCTAAGTAACAGAAAGCTTCGACTATCAAAAGGCAGAAATGGACCTTCAAATATCTTTATGGTATATAAATTGTTAAAATATTTTTAAAATTTACCAAATTTTTAAATACAAAATCCACTTCCTCTAGCACTTCTACCTCTAGGATTTTATCTAGAAAAATATTCACATATCATCCAAATATAAATATTCAAAGGCTTCATTACATTGATCTGCTAAAAGTAAAAATCTGGAACACATGAATGTTCACCAGTAATCTGCTGGTCACAATACACGAGAGCATCCAAATCACAATGAGATATCATTTCACAGTACCCAGAAGGACTAGAGTAGAGAAGGAAAATTCCATGTGGTCCAAGGAGGTGGAGACAAAAAACAGCTTGTCAGTTCCTCAGCTGGACAGAGAGTTAGCAGGTGACCCAGCAGTTTGCCCCTAGATATACACCCCAGAAGAATTTTTAAAAGGTGTTCAAATACGTGTACATGAGAGTTCACAGCAATCCTATTCTCAATAACAAAAGGGTGGGAATAACTTAGATGTGCATCAACTGAAGAGTAAATGAATAAAATGGTGTATCCATAGTCATGGGTTAAGCTCTGTCCCTCCAAAATACATATGGAAGCCCTGGCCCCTAATATCATAGAATATGACCTTACTTAGAAATTAAGTTGTTGCCTATGGGATTATTAAGATGAGGTCATACTGAAGGACAGTGGATTTCTAATCCTATATGACCGTGTCTTTATAAGCAGGGGGAATTTTGAGGCAAACACACACAGGGAGAAAGCCATGTAAAGATGGTGGGTGTGCGAGGAGCATGGCGGAGACCTCTGGGAGACCAGCACACAGGGGGGTCTGGAGGGCAGAATGCAGAAGGAAACCACCCTGCGGCACTCTGCTATTAGACTCTGGCTTCCAGAACCACAAGATGGTACCAGGTCATGGTGCTTGGTCATGGCATCCCCAGGAAACAGATATCTATGGATGACAGAATGACATTCAATCATAAAAAGAATCAAGTGCAGAACGTGCTTCAGTGAGCACCATCTCAGGAATAGTGAAAGGGCTGGACGCAGAAGTTCACGTATGCTACCATTCCCCTGAGAGGAAGTCCCCGCACAGGTAGTCCACAGTGACATGGAGATGATTGCTGGTGGCAGGGGGTCTGGGGAAGCAAGACCTGGTCAGTAGGTGTGAAGTGTTCTCTGGGATGGTGCTCTGGAGCTAGGTGGAGGTATGGGTTGCCAACATTGAGAATGCACCAAATTCTGCTGAGCACTCACTTCACAATGGCTAACCTCAGGTTATATAATTCCACCTTTAAAAAAAGGCACACACCTCATGTATACAGCCTCTCATCTTGTGCTGTGGCAATCTGTTGAAAAAAGAACAGAGGGTGAGTGTGCGTGTGTCAAAATATGGAGAATTCACAGGCTGTGTTTAAGTGTCAGTTACACCAACCACATACAATCCCCCTGCGGAAGACCCATGTTTGCGTGTGGGAGTACACGCACGTACAGTCCCACATTTATTTATGCTCATTTAGTCGTGGGCAAATGCACCAATTCTGCCCTTTGGTTTCCCTTCTGATTGTAAATCTGTCTTCGCATCATCTGTTGCTGTCTGGTTTTACAACAAGCAGTTTCACCAGCCACGCGGCCCCCTGAGGGCTTTGCCATGTGAACATTTCTTCTGTCCGACACCATTGCCCGAAGTCCACATTCCCTGAGGTCCTGGGAATGGACACGGAGTAGCCGACTGCTTTGCCACTGTGCCATAAGACGCCCCTACCTCCAGCTCCCGAAACCTCTCCTCGGTTCATCTGGACCTCTTCAGAGTGACTTTTGCCATCTGCGTTTCTGTCCACACCCTGTCCAAGCCACGTAGGTGATCTCAGAGAAGGTCCCGACTTTGCCTGGTCCTCTCGTGTGACCCTCTCCCCCGAGGCGCCCTCCATGTCCGTTCACTGATACTGGCTTTTCCCAGCGATCACTTCAAACCCACCCCTGCCTCCCGGTGCCCAGTTCCAACCCTGCCTCCACCTGTCCAGGTATTTGTTCAGCCACAGCCCCTTCTCTATATGCTACCTCCTCTTAGTCCGTTTTCTGTCACCGTCACAAATGCCTGAGACAATCTCCTTATAAAGACAAAGGCCGTGTTCTGGCCTCAGAGTCTGGGAGCTTCGGTCCATGGTCATCCATTCTGCTGCTCCTGCACCCCTAGTGGGTGGTGAAGCAAAGCCTGCTTACCTCACGGCCATCAAGCAGGAGGAAGGAAGAGGAAGGGGCTGGGGTCCCACTGGCCCCTCGATGACCATGAGTCCCCTCCCCTTAGAGTTTCTACCACTCTCAGTAGCACCGAGGGCCGTGGCCAGTGCTTTGGGAGCATTGCTGATCCAAAATGCATCATACAACATAATACCTTGGACCCAGTAATTCATAAAGAAGAAAGGTCTATCTTGGCTGATGGTCCTGGAGGCCCAGAAGTCCAAGAGCCAGTTGCTGACATCTGTTGAGGGCCTTGTGATGCTGCAGCTCAGGGCAGAAAGATGATAGGGCCACGGGAGGTGTGCAAAGGGAAGAGGGAGCCGGACCCACCTCACAGAACCTGCCCTGGCCGTAACTCACCCACCACTGTCTGAGTCTCCCCACTTCCATGGGAAAGTCATGGATCCTCCCGTGACCTAATCACCATGGAGGCCCCACCCCACACCACCATGATGGAGATCAAATTTCAGAGTGAGTTTTAGAGGGGGCCGACCATGTCCAAACCACACAGAGCCTTCACATCACATGTATATGTTTGACGGAATTTCAAGTAAATAATATTTTTCACACTACTATTGTCTCATTAGTGAGTCTAATTCTCTTGCCCCTCTTCAGCTGTCAGTAGTAAATACCATCTAGAGCAATTATACTCATCGCATTTCTTCCTCTGGGATTCCACAAACCCACACAGACTTCTGCGGTGCTAGGAGTATGCGTCTGCGATTGTTTTTCTCACTCCTGCCCCAGACATTCAGATATTGGGGGAAGCGCCCATTCCTGGTTCACTTTGAAGTCTTCAGATGAGCACAGAGCTGATCTGAACCACATGTTAAATAGTACACAAGACGTAAAACGCATATTTTGAATGAATAAATGAATAACTTTTTAAAATAATCAACTGCATGGTGTTGGAGTTTACTAGGTGTGACACTCTAATAAATTTAAAATGCAATGTTGTCAAAATTTCTAAGTTCCTACCAAACTGAGTAAATTTATGTTACAAAATGTTACTTTGTAAGAGTCTCAGCTATCATGATATCTAAATTGGAACCCATAAGGATTGCCCATAGAACACTGAAGCAAAACTTGATTATTTCTGCATGGGAGGCTCTTAACACTAAAACCAAAAGAGTCTTGAGTTAATGCTCTACGCTGCTCAAAAGAGGCATGTAACCCTTGAGGTGGTAAGCCAGTGCACAGCGTGTGAATAGACACCCGGCCATGAGAGGGAGGCGCAGGCGCTGGCACCCGGCTTGCAGCAGGACAGTGTGAGAGGCTTCTCTTATCGGCCACTCCAAAGCCTTTCTATGGCCGGCAGCCCACCATCTGGACCACCCCAGGACTGGCAAAGAGCCAGAGTCGATTGATTCTGTTTCTCCAAGCTCACCATAAACCAGAAGAAATCTCTGCGTCTCTACCCCACAGTGTGTGGCTAAGTGGGGAAACTTCACAGCTCTGGCCAAACTCAGCGGGAGTGGCTGGCCAGTGACAGCAGGGCTCGCCACCCAAGTCAGGTGAGCCCTGATCCACCAGGTAGTAGATGCACCCTCAGGCCATGTCAGGTGCTGATCATTCCCATTTCACACAGGAGGAGAAGGAGCCCAGGAAGGCTCCTGTGACATGCCCGAAGCCAGACATCTAATGAGCAACGCATGGAGCTAGATATTGATGCTAATGAGGTGCAAGACACCTTTTCTTGAACTTCAGTGAGCTGAATCTTTCTGGGTCTTCCTGAGGCTTCCTGTTTGGACTGTAATATGCCTGACGTCCAGTGAGGTGGGAAGCACTGATGGGTGGGGTGGTCGATGAGGGAGGAAGAGAAGACCACATGAAGGTCAGTGGGTGGAAATAGGAAGGTGAAAGTTGGAAGTGAACTGCTGAGTCAGCGAGAACTCGGGAGGATGCAAAATCAGGAAGATTCACTAGTAACCAAGACCACACGCACCCGGAGGACGTTGGGAGCGTAATGGAGTGGACATCGGGGTCTGAGGAAGGTGGACTCAGCATTTTATATTCCTAGAAGTCCTATCAACAGGACTGTGGCAGAGTTGCTATAATGGGATCCCAGACACTTAGAGCTGGAGGTAGCAATAATGAAATCCATAACGATGTCCTTGGCCCTGCTGGAGAAGGGCAGGAGCACCTCAGGGGCCTTTTGTGCACAGGGTTATAAGTCACAGCATAACAGGAAAACGTGAGGTGCCTGGGAGCCGGAGCAGGCTTCCTGGCACGGCTGGCCTCTCCGGCCTCCTGCTGATGCTGCCCAGAGTCTGTTGTCTGGCATCCACCTGCTTCTCCAGGTCAGAGCCCTGAACTTCAAGGAGTGGCCACTCACACCTTGGGGGCCCTGGAGAGAGGCTGCTGGGCATGTTTTCCCTGCCTGGCTTCCACCTCAGTCCACCGGAAGGGGTGGGAAAAGGGCATCAGGTCACACAAGCACATGACCTCAGACTGAGGTGTCAGCACGCCAGTTCACAGAGCAGCAAACCCAAGGTGAAACTGGCCACAGTCAGGTGGGAGGACCATGATGGTGCAGGAGCCTCCACAGCCTGTCCTCTTAGCAGGTGACACTAGCAGTACTAACCAAAGCAATAGTGGCCAACATCACTATTGTGCCCCGTCTGTGCTGGGCACTGTTCCGGGTGCTTCCACATGTTATGAGGAGAGTGAGAAGTGAGTGCCCTGATAATCACACCTGTTTCACAGGTGTGGGGCCAAAGCACAGAGAAGCTAAGTCATTTTACAGAGGTCACACTACAGCAGAGGCCAAGCCAGGACAACTCTGGAATCCATGCTGTTAGCCACCAGACCAGCTTGTCGATGGGGCAGAAATGTGTTCATTGCAAAGCATTACAATTTTGCACCAACTAAGCTTTTCCATCCCCACATAATGTCTTCATGCTTCCTCTCACTAGGCAGAAGGGGAAGGCCAGGAACTCCTGGTGCTTGAGCAAGGTCCCCCGGGTTCCTGCCAGCACAGGTTCTGAGCCCACTTGTCCTGGTGAGGGTCCTGCATCCTCCTGCTGTGCCCTCTCTCTGACTAACTTTTAATTCCATGTGCAGTGGATGTCATGCCAGCCCAGGAGCCATGACAGAGCCTGCAGTGGGGATCTAAGACCACATGACCCCGGCCTCAAGAAGTAAGGAGGCTGATGTGGGAAGAAGCCTCTGGGAGGCTGCAGAGCACATGACAGGGACACCTGCAGCCACCAGGAGTCAAGGGCACCTTCTCAGAACAGCAGCATTCTAGCTCTGTCCTGGAGGAGGCTGAGGAATTGGCCGGGGAGAGAGGAAGCGTTAAGTGAGACTCCTCTCTGAAGCCTGGACAAGGGGGAATGTGAGCATGCAGAGGGAGTCAGAGTCACTAAGGTGGGACAGCTCGTGGGGACAGAGGCTTTCTGTCCTTATGGAAGGTGGGCCCACAAAGGCAGGCCTTTAAAAAGGGAAGACTGGGCATGGACCCTCAAATCATCCACCATGGTCCAAAGCATTGGGTGGCAGACACGGGAGGGCAGCTCTGCCTGCCAGGGCCAACGAGACAGCATCTGTGTAGGGTCCTCAGCTGAACTCCAAAAGAGCACCAGGATCTGGAGGTGTCACGAAGCCTAATGACTGCCCGGTGCCTCCATCTGGAAAAATAGGATGACAATATTTACACCGCACCCCACTCTCTCCGTGTGGGGGTTTGGGAGGAACCCAGAAGACGGTGTTCACGCCACAGCAGTTCCCTCTACGGCCCAGGAGGGGAGTTAAAATAGAAGCACTGACTACTGCTGCCAGATATTTATGGGCACCCGCTCCTGTTCTGTCCATCAGTGACAGCCCCATAGATGACCCACTGTGCTGACCTCTTGGAACCAGAGGACAGCCGAGTCCATCTGCATCCATCTTAATGAGATGCCATTTGGAAATGATCAAGGTCTTTTGTTGTCGTCGTTGTCGTTTTGTTTCAAGCTGGAAAGAACCATCGAAAGATGCACTAAATAGCCTCCCACAGGGTTTGTTCTGGCAAATGCTGACCTGGATTCTCCTCCTAGTCACGTGCTGCCCTCGTACAATACACCAGCACCAGGGCCAGCAACATGGAGGAGACACAAGAGGATGCTACTTACAGTCAGCCCATGTTCTCAGGCAATCATGATAAGCAAGAGATCTGGGGACACTCAATGTACTCGCAACTCCAGAGTGCCCAGGCCCCTCTCCTGCTCCACCAGACAGGTCTCTATGGCATGGAAATCTGCAGCCACCACTAGGTCACTGAGTTAGCTAGATGAGTCACTGAGCTAGCTAGATGTTTGGGAGTAAGGGGGAAAGAAATGTCTAATGAAATTTCCAGAAAGGCTGTCTATTATGGAAGGAAACAGAACAGCTATGCCCAGGAGAGGTGCACATCTGGAGGGTACCACGTGGCATTTAAATGCATCTTCTGATCTCTCTTTCCTGAGGAGGAAAGAGTCAGAAACTTGGGAGGGTTTCCCACAGGAGAACAGGGCCTGACCACCCCACAGAGTCATCATTGCCAAGTCAGGAGGCCTCGCTGACAAACCACCCACAGTCCCAGCCATCAGAGCCAGCTGCTGCTCACGCACCTGTCTCCTGCATGGCATCTGACCACGGAGGGCTTTCTCGAGGTCTGCTGCCATGACCAGTGCTCAGTTCACACCGTCGCAGGCACATCTCATGGAGATCCACTTCTGTGATTGGACTGTGCATCTGACTGGATGATCAAAAAACCAGGTGATCACTCCCAGCTGGCCTGCAGGCTGCTGGGGAGGGGCCCTCAGAGGGGCTGCTGTTCCTAGGAGGTCAGCAAGAGCCGTTCCTTCCTCCCTGTACACCTTTGTTCTCTGTCCAAGTTTCTGCATCAACTTTGATTTCCACACTTTCCATTTCTGACTCTTGGATTAACCTCCTGTTCTTATAATTAGGTCTCGAGACTGTGCATACCTCTTGGGGTTACATGTCCACTGAATTCCCAGGCTCCATCTCCTCAGGATGCCAGGTACGATGTGCTTGTTAACAGTATTTCCTCCCATGATGAGAACTTCAGGGTCATCTCTGATTAGAAATATATAATAGATGCTCTTTACAGAAACATTTTGAAAAATAGGGACAAAGTACAAAGAAAACACTCAACTAGACAGATACACGTTCACATACATAAACATACAAATACACATATGAGCACTCATATGTGGTCTCACACATGTACACTCACACTACACGCTGAGACACACATGTGAACTCATGTGCATATACGTAATCATCTGTGCACACCCATGCACAGCAATGTGCCCACACGTGCTCACACACACACACACACACACACATGCTTATAGATAGGATCTTACCATTATCTTGTTTGAATGCTGGCATTTTTATACAGCAAAATATTTCTATGCAAAGAATATGTAGAGAAATCTTTACTCTTAATAGTACTCTAGCATTTCCTTTTATATATATCCCATAGCTTTTCTTTCAATGTGCTATTTTTAAATAAGAGGTTTTACTTAATTTCGAATCTGGTAAATGAAATTTTAATGTGCATCCTTACGCCTACTTTGCAGACTTGGTTTGCTTTTCATTAGGAACACTTCTAATGAAAATATTTGATCAATGGGAAAGGGAATCTTAAAACTCTACAAAGCACATGTGTAAGTCGAAACGGTACCAAGAGCCCTCCCTAAGTGCATGATTGCCTCTGTCTTGTGGCTCACCCCATTTAAATCTGCCAATCTGAGAGGAAGAAGACAGGATTTCCTGGATGATTAAACTTTATCTCCTGGGTGGTTATCGAAGGGGACATTTTTCTATGCCCTTTGGCCACTTTAACACAATTTCCCCAAAAGGACCCTTTCAAAAGGGTCCTATGTCCCCTGAGTTTCCCTGTGTTTTTGTCTCTTCCTGTGGCTCATGAGGTCACAGAGAGTCTCAGACAATCTTAATAATACCGTTGGCCTGTTCCTCGGATATGCTGACCTACTGCAGCCCCTGCCTGAGATTCTCATTTATGTTCCAGTTTGTTTATGGGTCACTTCTGCTTCCAGTCAAGATTGAGTGACGGGGACTGATAACCCTTCAGCCTGAGGAAAGTTTGGGGTGGGGGGGAAGAAAACTGACAAAACGCATTGTTTTCAAAACTTTGGGCACTGGACCTTAAGGGGCAGAGGTGGCCAAGAGACAGGACAGTGAGGAGAGTCCTTGGGATTCGGCTTGCCAAGGATGCCAGCCAAGGCTGCAGCACAGGGCAGGGGACCCGGGCAGAGCCTGCCTGGTGCCTGGGCTGGGAGAGAGCAGGGGATGCAGGAAGCAGGTGCTGAAGCTCACAGGCAGGCCACCCAAGGGGAGAGAGCCACGGGAGGGTGGGCCCAGTCATGGGGCAGGAGTCCCGCACGTGCCTCTGAGGAAACCGGCTGAGAGAGCGGCACGCAGGGTTTCCAGAAGGCTGAGAACAGTGCCTGCCCCAGCTGCCAGAGGAAAACCCAGCTCCTGAACAGCATCCTCCTCAGCCAGGAGAAGGGCCACCCACCAAGGCAAGTGACCCTCAGCCAAATGCAGCTCTGCTGCGGCCCCAAAGGAGTAGCCTTAACAGGGAGTTGCAAAAGGACCCACCATCTCTGGATGCCTTATAGCCTCCGTGGGGAGGCAGTGAGGTGGAAAGACAGACCTCCCCAGGCAGACAGGACTAGGGCCTCGGAGAAGGGAAGGAGGGAGGAGAACCTGGGGCCACCCTAGGAGGAGAGTGGGGTCTGGAGAACATCCTGTGAGGTGCTGCAACCACAGGCCTCCCCAGCACATGCTCCTGTTCCTAAGAGCTGCAACAATGTAGCTCCTCACTAGCCCTTTCCCTACCCCTAGCAACCTGAACCACCAAATCGACCCCTACCTGAATGCCTCCTCTCCCCCACAGAGGCGCCAAGCCACCAGGTGAAACACACCTCTTAATGATGAACGTAAGGGATTGAACTCTGCACTTCTGGGTGGCTTATTAAACTCAGAGCTTGAAGAGCTTGATTGGCCCATGCAGGCATCCCTCACCTGCGCCCCCAGTCACCTGTTCTGGGCCATCAGATAAGCCCTTAAAAATCCCGGACAGCAGACACCCATTGACGTCCCTCTCTTGGGGGCCCTTCCCTTGGGAGCTCTGCTCTCTTTCTTTCTGTGACTCTAATAAATCCTGTTGCTTTGCTCTCCCCCTTGGGTCTGTGGATTTCATTCTCCCAGTTTTCAAGACAACCCACCCATCCACTCTCCCTGATATAATTGCTCTAGAGTACAGGAACACAAGAGTAGCAGCCCACACAAGGAAAATCTACCACATCTGGCAGCCAACCAAAGACTACCAAGCCTTCAGAGAACAGGGAAATACAAAAATAGGGAAAGTTGGCCAGAACTGACCCAGAAACTAGACCCTGCAGAGACTGACACAGCTACAACATGACGGCATCCACACGTTCCAGAACCTCAGGAGTGGTTAAGGAGGGATGAGAACATCAGGAAAAACACGTGGGTCAAACTCACAGAGGTGAAGAGGGCTGCTTGTCATATACAAAATTCAACAGGGCCATCAATAGAAGGTCGGATGTTGCAGAAGAAAAGCCTGAGGTCTGAAACTCAACGGGGGGCGGGGAAGGGGGGGACTTTAAAAGAGATGAATAGCAGGGCAACTTTAAGTAGCAAATTAAAAGTCAAAACAGTATCCCCAGCCAGGCACGGTGGTTCACCCTTGTAATCCCAGGGGCTTGGGAGGCTGAGGCAGGAGGATGGCGAGTTCAAAGCCAGTCTCAGCAATGGTGAGGTGCTAAGCAACTCAGTGGGATCCTGTCTCTAAATAAGATACAAAATAGGGCTGGTGATGTGGCTCAATGGTAGAGTGTCCCTGAGTTCAATCCCTGGTACCCCCCCCCCCGCCAAAAAAAAAAAAATAGTGTTCCCAAAGAAGAAGTTGGCTGAGGGGAGGGGAGCAGGAGAGGCACAGAAAAATCGCTTAAAAAACTAATGGCCCCAGGTTTCATGGTGAAAGCTATAAACCATTGATCCTCAAGAACAAGAAACTTATAGGAAGCCATGGCAACCCAGAAGCAAATTTCTCAAAACCAAGGAGAACAAAAAATCTTAACCATGGCCAGAGAATGAGCCACTTCATGTTAGAAGAACAAAGGATGAGGACAGATTTCTTACCAGCAACAAAGTCGGCTAGGCATGGAGGTACTTTTAAAGTACCAAAAGAAAAATCATCAGCTCGAGAACCCCTCACTCCTGGAAATATGTTTCAAAGCTAAAGGAGAAGTAAGGATGTTTTCAGATATGCAAACACTGAAAGAATTCCTCACCAACTGCACTACAGGGTGTGCTGAAGATGTCCTTCAAGCACAGAAAAAGGTGGAAGGTGGAGTCCCGAGTCCACACAAGGGGCCCAGAGCACCGGGAGTGGCACCTTCAGGGGTTCTGAGCTCTTTCTTAATTACGAGCAACATCTCTCCAAAAGATAACCTATTTTAAAAGTAAAACTAGCTGCAGTCACTGTCAGGTCTGCATCATAGAAGAAAATCATGTGGCAAAAATGGTTCAAGAAAGGACAAACAGAAATGCAGCATCATCAGCCAGACTGATCCCCTCAACACCCCGTGCTGCCCTCCAGTTTGGGTAGCCACCCATTCATTCCATATTCCCAGCCCTAACCCGAGGATTGAAACATGCGTGGTGATGTTACAATTTAATTTATGATGTGTGCCGCTCCCTTGATAAGGCCGATGATGCAGCGCTCCTCCACCTGGCAGTGTTCAGTGGTACTGCCCCACATCTCGACGCTTCCTGAACTTCCCTTATTGTTTTATGTCACCCACATCATATCTACTAACCACCTGACTCACCCTTTCTGTCCTTTTGTGATGCTTCTTGGGCTCCCAGGCTTCCGTCTGCCATAGGCATTCTTCTCTGTGACCATGGCCTTCAGGATTTCTTGTACTGGACATGTGCTAGCAATTATTTCTATGCATTTTCTTGTCTGAAGGTACATTTGTGCCATTTTGAAGGATACAGCTGCTGTGCAGATAAGTCGAGGTAGTGATAATTTTTTTTAAAGATAAAGATATTATCCCTTGTCTTCCTGCTTCAACTACTCTGCAAGACACTCAGTTTTCAACTGTCCTGTTCTCTGTTGAAGGTCAAGTGTCTTCTGTTCCCCTCTGGCTGCTAGTTCAATACTGTCTTTCCTATTGACTATATGTCTAGGTGTGTGTTTCTATTGGTACAGTTAGATACGATCTCCCTTTCTGAAGGAGTTACTGGTGTATCTGATGATTTGTTTTATTTTTTATTTTTTTGTTGATTCTGTAGAAAGTCTTAAATCTGTGGGTTAATGTATTTGATCACTTTTAGAAAATTGTGGCCAGGATTTCTTTAACAAATTCCTACCCTTATTCGTAATCTCAGATCTTTGGGGGAATCTAAAGTATGTATTTAGTGAGTGTTTTATTTTGTTGCTGGTTCTCGTGTCCGTTTCTGTGTTTTTCACCCATTTACCTCAGTCATTTTTAATGGAAATAACATTTCTGTGGTTGCCATTGCTCTCAGATCAGCAATCACAGTTGAGTGCAGACTTTGCGTGGGGCTTGGGTGTCATAATCCAACACCCCCTCTCCTGTTGGTTTGGTTAAGGGCTATTTGTTTCCTTACTTATTTACTTGTTAGCAAGAGGCATTACTGTAGTTTCTGTTGCAATGATAGATTACCTGTGACTCACTAACTTACCTAAAAGTATTTCTTACAATTCTGCCACTTTTTTGCTCTTTTTTTTTTTTTTGAGAGAGAGAGAGAATTTTAATATTTATTTTTTAGTTCTTGGCGGACACAACATCTTTGTTTATATGTGGTGCTGAGGATCGAACATGGGCCGCACGCACTCCAGGCAAGCATGCTACCGCTTGAGCCACATCCCCAGCCCACACTTTTTTGCTCCTTTGGTGGCCATAGGATTGGACCCAGGGCCCAACACATGCCATGCAAGCACTGCAGCACTCAGCTACATCTCGCTTCTTTCTAAGGGCATAGGTTGCACCTGCCTCTGCCCAGCTCCTGGTGAGGGCTTCTTGCTGCATCAAGACACAGAGGAGGGCGCCAGGTGGTGAGACAGAGCAAAGGTGCAGGGCGCCATCTTTCATGACAAACCAGCCCTGTGTACATTCATTCATCCACTAATCATGAATGGACTAATCTACTTATGAGGACAAAGTCCCCATGAACCTCCTGCCTTCAAATGCCTTTGATGTGAAGCTTTGGGGATTCAGTTTCCAACACACGCACTCCAGGGGCAAACATCCAACCATAGCGAGTAGAATACTTACAGTTGTGTGATGGTTCGTACCACTGGTTGCCTTTCAGGGGCTGCACCAGGGTGTTGGGGAGGAGAGTGAGTGTTAAAAAGGGCATCTTCCTCAGCAGATGATGGACACTCTCAAACTTCTGTCAACATTTAGTACAACATACTTGCCAAATAGAACAGGACCTTCTGAAAAGAAAACAAGGAATTATGCCTAAATTATTTGAACAAGATTATACAGCAGCTCATGGATCTCTGTTTATTCATGTTACCAAGAAATTGATTTTTACATTTCTCTTAGATTATAGAAAATGTTTTCAGTTTAGGGCTGAAGTCTCCCAAGTTTCTTGGGTTATTTTGTATCAACTAAAATTAGCTTGAATTAAACTACAATGTCTACTGTGGTCTCTCCTTAATCCCTGCCAAGAAACCATTAAGTTCTTCTGGAATTTGACTCATTCTTTCTTTATAAAAGAATCATGCTCTAAAGTGACAGAATCAGAAGCCTAGGACACTGGGAAAGTCTGAACTTACTTTAATTAAGCCACTTTTCTTGTTTTGCCTGACGAGAGTGGAGGAGAGAGGAGAGTCCATTGTCCATAGTGACAACTCTCAACCTGCTTCAACGAGGCGCCAGGGTGGCATTGGAACCCTGTGTTTTCTTTTTGATCCTCCAGATAAGATGAGGGCCCTGTGTCCTGAGAAGGTGCTGAGAAGCCTCCTTCCCCCAGTCTCTGGATGGACCTATTTGTGTTCTTGGCTCCTGCAGGACAGAGCAGCTCTGGACACCGTCCCATGGCCCCACTCATTCCTGTGTCAGTATAAAAAGCTGAGGGCAAGCACTGTTTGTATGTGATTAGCCAGGACGTTTAGCAACGCTGCTTTTCCTTACTATTCAGAGTGCTGTAATTAATATCATCCCGTGTATCTGTTTTAACTCCTGCTTCACTCCACACAAAAACTTGGCAGCCATAGTAGGGGTATAAAAATAATCAATGGGAGAGACTATTTTTAGACTGCCAAGAAGCTTTGAATTAAATTCCAGCATGATTATGTAAGACATGCAACAACAGTCCAGATCGCCAGACATGCGTGCTCAGGGAGGCGACTCCTGAGCCCTTGAACTCACTGTGAGGTCAACGTCAGCGGAAACAACCTGGGACAGCAGCACACTCTCGTCTGCCAAGGGTGCATCTCCCTGTGGAGCTCCCTGAATGGTCACTGTTAGAAGACACAGGGTACGCAGCCAGTGGGGCAGGCAACTTAGCGAGAAACTGTCCACCATGTCACCTTTGTCCTCTTAGACGGTCGAATGGGAAGATGGGGAGGGAGAGTGAATTATGGTAATAATTCTATGGTAATAAGTGATAGAGATTAGATGGAAAAGATTAGAACCGTGCCTGGCATATGGTAGGCACTCAAAGAATCTGAAAGATTGGACAGGAAATGAATCCAGAGAGATCTAGAAAGGCAGGCTGGAGCCTCTGTATCCTCTGGAACACAGCAAGGACATCCCCCAAGGGATTAGTCTGAGGTCAAGGTGGGTTCTAAGAAGGGCCCACTGCCCAATTCCATCCAGGAGCCATCACAGGGGACACAAATCTAGGCACAACACAAAGTCGGCACAAGCTTCAAGGTAACTTTCTCCTTGGGTTCTTCTCAGAACCCATTTTCTCTTCCTTGGAATGTGCCAAGACTGAAACCAAGCTGAGGAACGGGTGTGTGGCTGGTGTGCGATTCAGGATGAAGGGGCCATGGAACAGTGAAGGTGTTCAGAGCCGCTCTGTCCTGCAGGAGCCAAGAACCCACTGTTACCCTGGACACCCGCCTGTGGCTTGCTGGCATTGCTGGCTGTCATTCTCAAGGGACCTGTGTGCACCAAGTATGGCATGTGCAACATGGCCCAAGAGTGGGCAGCAGCGGAGTTTAGGTCCCTTAGCCCTGAGCACTCCTAGGAAGAGATGCTGCTCTGGGTCCCTGGCATTTCGTGTTTTACCTCCAGAATAGCTAGACTCATGCTTCTCTGGGCCAGATGGAGTTTATGTGGCATCTGTGGGTAATTGTCAGTAGATATCCACCCACCATCTGGGTGATGCTTAATTATTACCAAATCTAGTTACACAGTGATATAGGACAAGGGGGAGAGGGAGGGGAAGAGAAGAGTTTAATATCCAATGTTCCTGAATGTTGAGTTTTTCCAATAACAAAATGGTTAGCTGGGAAGATGAGTCTGAATCTGAACTGGTAGGTAAAGTTGAAAGAAGTCTTCAAACTAGATGCGAAATTATCTCTTTGAAACTGGTGTTTTATTTAGTGGAAATGTTAATGTCTTACACTCATGACCAGATTTCATAGGTTCTTTAGTGAAAAGTGTACTAAAAGATGCTTCTTTTAAATGGAGACCAAAGTTTTAAGATGTTTCTTTTAAAGGGAGGCAGAAATTCTATCTTCTTGATTCTTTTCATAGGTCAAGAAGGAGCCCTTGAATTTCTAAGACTGCCTCTTCTTGGAGTCAGTTTCCTGGGGGACACTGCTGTGGTTTGGGTGTAGTGACAATGTCCCCAAAGTCCACATGTTAAAGTCTTGGTCCCCAGGTGTCTGGGATAGGAGTTGTGACTTTTGGGAGGCGGGGCTTATGGGAGATTCTTAAATCCCTGGGGATGGCCATTCAGGGGTTGTGGGGCCCAGTCCACCCTCTCTGTCTGTGCAGGCCCCAGGCTAGATGGGGGAGTTGCCCCTGCACATGCTGTAGCTGCCACCCTCCCCATAACTGAGCTGACACGGGTGCCATGTTGTTGAACAGCCAAAGCTCTGAGCTAAATGAACCTTTTATATTTATAAGTCAGCTGCTTCTGGTATTTCATTGTAGTATCTGAAGCTGAATGATCTCTCTCTCTCTCTCTCTCTCTCTCTCTCTCTCTCTCTCTCTCTCACACACACACACACACACACACATACACACACACCATTTACTTCATCTAATCAACCTCAGTAGTATCAGCATTTGGGGCTGGATAATTCCCACACATGGAGGCCGCCCTGTGCTCTAGGGTATGTTTTCCAGTACCTCTGGTCTCTGTCCGCTGGAAGCCAGTGTCCCCCTCTGGTGGTGATAACAAACAACATCTGCAGACATTGCTTCATGCTCTTGGGTCGTAAGACCAAATTAGTTTCCAGAAGAAGCATCATTCATACCTTAGCTCTCATGCTGCTCTTGGGGACGGTGCTGGTGAGAAGCCCAGCTCTGTGTCCCACGTCCCCAGCCGGGGGCAGAGGGTCTGACCCACGGACTCATCCACTCCGTTATGCGGAAACAATCCAGGACTGCCTCCTCGCTGGTGTTCTCTCCTTTTCTGTTCTCAGAAACCAAGCCAGAAGGGCAACCCTGCAGGAGAACTTGGATCAGGTGACAGCCATACGAGGACCGCCGTGCTGAGTGCTGTCCTTCACAAGGCGCCCAGCGCTGGGAGGTAGGTGCCGGCATCACACCTGTTGGTACATGGGGTCACTTGCCACCACAGCTTTCCATTCTTGCTTTGTCATCCCCAAACAGCCAGGAGAGAACCTGAGGCCCAGAAAGGGGACGACTTGCCCAAGACAGCCCAGTACTCAGAGCCAGAACTTGGGATCATTCTCCGATCCGGGCCTCTCCCTGGGCACCAGGACAGTCAGCCCCCCACTGGTCCCAGCCCTGCAATGTGGTCATTGGTGGTTTACAGGAGACACACAGGCCTCCACGAGGCCCCAGCTTCAAAGCCCACAGTGAGAGGCTCACTGGGCCCCATTTCCACGTCAGCCTCTGGGGCCTCCCCTGGGTTCTCCCTCCATCATCTCTGAAGATGGTGACTGACTTGGGTTCTGCCGTTTCCTCCCTAATCTACTCGGCCTTCAGGGATTTTGAAATATTGTCTCAACAGCTAACCTGTGGCCTTCCCGCAGGTCTTGTGCAGGTGTCTCTGGGAGCCTGTGGCCTGAGCCCCACGCAGGGCTCTGCAGTTAACAAAGGAAACCAAGCTCCACCCCCCACCATGTCTGCCTGGCAGTCAGACTCAGGGTCCCTGGAGGGTCTGGTGGAAGGAGGAGGGGCTTTCCTTCACACTTGGTCTGTGACTCTGCAGCTTCCCCACCTACTTGTCGTGTCTTTCCAGCAGCTGAAAACTAATAAATAGTAAGACCGACTTTGCTAGTGTTTCCTAGCACTCTCTCCCAAGGCCCAGGGCAGGCAGGTTGTGTTTATGGTGAGCAGTAGCCACCGGCAAGCAAGCACACACCATCATGGGGACACTGCAGCCTTGGCAAGGACTGCTCCTGCACCTGGCAGACAGCAGGACGGAGCAGTGCGGGACCCCAGAGCACATTCACAGAGCCTGGGTGACCACAGCGGTGCTTACTCCCTCCAGTGGCAAGTGTGTTGGGGAGGGGTGTGTCCACCTTTCCATTGCAGTGGCCTTTGAGGTATGTCTCAGGTGCTCTCCCCACCCAGACACTCACTCCCCCAGACCCTCTACTGGGACACATGCACTCTGTTCTTGCCTTCCCCTGTGGATCTTCGAGTAAATGACTGAAGAGCAAAGAATGGCCAACAGAGACATTATCACCCAAACACACAGGACCAAGAAAGAGGGGCCAAGGACTAGCATGAGTGACAGCTGTCAGGGTTTCACAGAAACACCAGACAGATGCAGACCCTCCAGCAATGCTGTCCTGGGGCCAGGAGGGAGGTCCGTGATAAGGCCCGCACCAGAGAGCCACCCCCATCACCCCTCTGGCTGCCCTGGGCAGGAACCAGGGAAGATCTGAGCCTGAGCCTCGGATCCCCACAGGCACCATGGCAGGAACGGTTCCCTGGGAACCGGCCTTCCATGGGTGCCCCTAGTTGATCTAGGCCAACTGTTAAACATTTTTGATCGGAGGAAAAAAACAATCCCTCTTGTTTAGACGTGAACATGAATTAAGAAGGCAAGAGAAGGGAACGGTTCAATTCTAGCATGAATTCTCCGAGAACCTGAGAAGAATCACTAGAGAAATCGAGATGACGATAAGTTCAGGGCTCAGGTGGGAAATGTGGGTGATCTCTTCCTCTGACCACTGAACCATTCGCTGGTGACTCAAGGAGAATCCCTTCCTGCAACTGAGGCCTTGCTGACATGGGCCACAAAAGCCAGGAGGGCAGGAAGGGATTTAAAAATCAGGAGTGACGAAACTGTCATGTAAGTTGCAAGTGTATCGGGTTCAATTTAGGAGTCGGGTTGCATTTACACACACATCCCTAATGTACCTCTAACTTCAGGTGTCCTTCAGTGGAAATGAGGCACCTCGGGCTCCAAGCATCACCAGATGCACATGCCCCTGGGACACTGGGGAATCACGATGCCCTGTACTTGGTGGGGGAGCCTGTGGCCCCCCGGAAGTGGCCCTCAAGTCTTGCTCACGCCTCGGTGAAACTTGTTGCTCGCCGGGGCCCTGCTTCTCCTGCAGAGATACATTTTCATTCCCATGCCCCCTTCTCCTTCCTCTCTCCTCTCCCAGGGAGAACGGTTCCCCTCCCCTCCAGGTTGCGTCCACCCTTCCAGAACCTCCTCCTACCAGTTTCCCTCCCCATCTTCCATGATTCCGTCTTCCTTCTCTGGGGATGTCTCCGACCTTCATCTGTAAATAGGTCCAGTCTTCACATCACGGAGATCCGAACATTCCTCTTGTCTTTGCCATAGTTCTTGAGTTCTATTTGAAGTCCTATCACTGACTGAAAACTTTCCATCAGACAGATCCCCCTGTTAGTCTCTGCTCTTACTTCCAAAGTTGAACTCAGGACATAAGGGCTTGGGGCAGAGGCCCTGCAGAGCTGGGGCCCGGGTCCCTGAGGAAGAGGGATGATTCATGGCCCACCAGATGCTGGTGCCACAGAGTAAGGGAAGAACCCCATGGAGCTCAGGTTATGGGGAACCTGGACCTGGGCTCAGCCAGAGTGCAGGCCACTGGTGAGACAGTGCTGACCAGGAACGTGACAAAAGGGGACAAACAAGACCCCTCCCTGCTCTAGCCCCCCAGCATCCTCTTGTCCTTTGGGCAGAGCCTCATGGGAGCATCTCCAAAGGAGAAATGTGTTTGCAGAGCCCAGACCTAAGGAAAAGATCTCCTCACTCTCCACCATCTGGCTCTCGCTTAGCCTCCTGCCGAACTCTCTTGCACACCTGTGAATTTACACACCTGTGAATTTACACACACAACACCAACACCTCTGTCTTCAAGGCTTCACCTAACAAATGCAGTTCCTTTCACATGAATGAAGACCCTCTGTTCTGGAAAAAGGGAGACATAAAGTTCCAAAAGCACGTAGCCTCACTCTGGGGCACAGTTATGCAATCCACCTCTGAGGAATGAATCACTCCTCATATTCTGGTCTAGCCCCACCTCGGATCCTCTCACCCAGAGACGAAATTGCGAGGCCAACCATCAACTGTGGTTAGTAGAGAAATAAGAGAAGGAGAGAAGAGAGAGAAGCTAGGCCCCGGACTCAGGTGGGGTAGGTGGCAGGAAGCCACACGTAGGACAGCTGCTTGTTTCCTATCTCGCCTGGGTCTCAGCTGGCTCATGGATCCCTTCTTCTATGTCCACACGTGTGTCCACAGCCTGCAGCCTTGACTTGTGGGCATCCCAGGACTTGCCTGGTTGGGTGGCCCACTTCTTACTCCCGAGGGTCTGAACGCTCTGTGGTCCTGTACTTCCTGCCAGCTGCCCGTTAACTTTTAGAGATGGAAACGTCACAAGATGCCCCAGAGACTCTCCTCAGTCACAGAGGTCAACTTCCCTGTCTGCACCCTGGGCAGCCACCCAGGTCACTCTGATTATCAAGGCCAACCATTCCAGCCAGGGTGATGCCTGCTAGGCCCAGGGTCTGAGGAGCCCGATGCCAGACAGTCTCCACTCCCAGTTCAATGAACAGTCCACTTCAGGTTGTCCACCAGCAGAGGTAACGGTGCAGGCACAGGAAGCAAAGTTCTGAGAGTGGCTCCTAAGGGACCTTCTGCCACTCTTCAGTCCCTGCCCAGGTGCTCTGGTAAGGCTGAGCTGGCCGCATACCTCTGCCTCTACGGCGAGCTACACCGTCCTCCCAGCCAGCCGCAGTGGATCCTCCTTCAGCCCCAGCCCTCCACCAGGCCAGCTTCTCCTGGGCCGCCAGGTCTGGTGACATGGTGACACCACTGGCTCGAGCCCATTGATATTCCCTTCTGCTGTAACAGTAGGCTGGGCAGAGGAGTGCTGAGGAGACTGCTGCCCGAGAACGGAGGCCATCTGTTCCAGAGTCTCAGTCACCCTCCTTCCTTCGGGGACCAGGACTGACATGGCTCCTAGTCCCGTCATTTGGGTGAGACCCTCCTCAATGGGGTTTGGAATCACCCGGCTTGACAATTGCTGTGCTCGGTCACTGAAACCCTACTTCTCTCAACCCCAACCACCATCCTCTAACATTCTGTCACAGGAGGCCTGAGGAGGCCACTCCAGGCTCTGCCCAGTTCCTCCTTCTCTGCTGCCCCCTGCGCCTGGGTTCTGAGCACCAAGACAGAGACTGGGTGCTGAATGGAGTCAGGACGATGAGACGGCCATGAACAGGGACCACAGAGGGAGGGCACGGTCCCCCGGAAGCAGACAGGCACCTGTGTTTGGATATGGGTGAAGAGGGAGAGAGGGCAGTGGGGAGAGAGAGAAAGCTATCAGGAATTCTTGGACCCTGCAGTCCTCAAAAGAGAGAAAATAATCTTCAGTGTCCAGAAAATGATGATAAGTAGAGTTTCACAAATAAAATAATAATAATAATAATAATAATAATAATAATAAAACCCAGCCATGTGGGCCGAGGGGCCAGCCTGTCCTGCTTTATTTTTTAGCTAAATCTCAAAGATGCTTCACATGCTGCTGCGGAGTCTGAACATCTAGATGACAGCTGGGGGCAGTGGCAAGAGGTGACCTTCAACCTGGGAGGCACAGCCAGCCATCCCCCACAGAGCACCCAGGGTTGCTGCGGAGAGAACAGCAGCAACTGGGGGCTGCACTCAAGCAGAGAGGGTGCTGCCAAGGGGAGACCCCCACATTACCCAGCGTTGTACCCAGTGGAAAATGCAGGGGAAGGAGGCAGCTCAGGGCCCAGGCACTGCCTTGTCCCCTGCCCTATTGGAAGGTCCCTGGAACTATTTTGGAAGGGAAGCCGCCGTTGGGGGATGAAACAGTGACTCAGGTGAGCATCGCAGACAGTAACCAGAACAGCAGTGCCACCAAATCCTTGCCTGGGAAATTGCACAGAAACTCCCTCCGCAGTCAGGACCACAGACAGCCTGTCGGCAGGAGAGTCGTGTGGCGGCTCAGGTGGCCCCCCAGTGCCCCTCACAGTCCATTCCCAGCCTGTGCCGCACAGGAAGCACGCTCTTCCAATTGGCAGATCTCTCTGAGCCACGTGATAGAGCTTGTTGGGCCCTGAGCCCTGACTGTACAGCCAGTCTGAGCTGTGCCTGTCCCCAGCCGCTCGGAGAGGCAGAGGTGGATGTCGCACAGAGTTCCGCCATGTGAGCGACCTTTGGTCCTGGACCAAGCAATTTCCTATTTTTGTGGATGCAGTTGAGAGCACCACGTCACACCAGAGCAGCTCTAACCCGCTGCGGTTTCTAGTCAGGGGAGCCCTTATAGATGGCTGTGGCTGTGCCCGGAGTTACGTCAGAGCAGGTCTAGGAGTCAGGTTACGGTCGAGAAAAATCTGTGTCTCCCCTCCCTGCGACATACTGACACATACACACACAACCCACAGGCACGCACAGCATGCACACACGTGTATGCACACCCACACATGTACACAGGTACACCCACAGGCATGTTGCACACTTTTGCTCTCCGTACGTGCACATCCACAGTTACTTCAGAGGCCAGTGGGGGCTCTTCCAGTCTGCTCCTCCGCAGCTGAGCAGCTCCAGCCCAGCCCTTCAGCACTGCCTGCTCCTGTGCCTTTGCCTGCCTGTCTCCTGACCAGCCTGTGCACCCTGGAGGTGGGCCTGTTTCCCTTCTCCACCCCCACTGCAGGCAGGGGGGCCCTGAGCCAAAGACCTCCCTGGCTCGGCATGCCCCTTTCTCCTCAAGGAACGTGGTGAAACCTAAACTCAACAGCTGCTTCCGCGCAGGATGTGGGAGGCTGGAGCAGCCTGGGGCTCCGGCTGCAGTGAGCAGAAGCGGGTTGAGGTTTAAAGTCACATGTTCTCGGAGCTGAGGCTGCTGACTTGGTTTAAATGTCCAGTATCTGGTAAGGGAGGAGAGGTTGAACTTTTATTTTCACTGCCTAGGACTGGCCTCCTACACAGGGGGAAGCTCATTAGCTCATTAGCTAGTGCCTCCAAACCTCACTGACAAAGCAGGGGTCACATGCTCTCTTGGTCCCAGGTCCACTCCAGAGGGCTCCGAGCTTCTCCAGACGGCCTCATGTTTCCTTCTTCCGGCTTCTCACCGCCACAGTGCAAAGGTTTGCTCAGATTGTCCGGTCTCCGTGGATGCTGAGGATGACAGATGCCTGAGTCGTGACTGTAAAAACATAGATCATCCCTGTCCCTGAGACAAAGCAATTTCAACTACTCACCTGCGTCTGGAGCTGAGGTCAGCCAAGGATGCTCCATGACTTCACCCTGGCTCTCTCCTCCTCCACAATATCTGCATTTTCTGGGTGTTTCTGGGACCTCGGGGAAGGCTCTGGTGCAGCCCTCGATCATTTTAATCAATGTGCTAAGTGACAGTTCCTGCGGCACTGGATCACACTGCAAAAACCTGGCACGCCAACAGCTAATTGAAGGTACCGGCTGGGACATGTGACTCAGCCTTGTGCATTTCCAGCATAGAAAGTGTTTACACACCCTCCTCTGCCGCCTCGCCTACCCTCCGTGCTCTCCTGTGGCTAGTTAGGAGAGGCCAACACAAGGAGGGAGAAGCAGAACTATCCCCACAGCCCAGGACAGCTGAAGCCTTATTTGCAAATAAAAAACACTGGAATATTCCATTTTCATTGTCTTCATAAAGACTTGTACTCACAAGACCCAGATTAAATTTCCTCATAAGCAGAAAACATTAGTGTGGCTCACAAGAAATATGCAGGAAGAGACCAGCCGCCCTGTGCGCTCTCCAGGGCACCTCGCCTGCCTGTTTACGATAGGATGAAGCAATGTGCTTCGCAGAGTGGTCCAGTCTGGCCACATCGTGGGAGAAACATGACCCTGGAGTTCAGAGCGCAGAGCCCTGGTGGGTCCCCTGAAAGCTGCGTCTCCGTGCAAAGTCTTCCAGCTCTGAAATCACAGATCTGAAGTCCATGAAGGAACGAATGGATGAACCAATGTCTGTGGGGAAAGGGACGGACCTGGAAATCACCGCCTTGGGACCATCCTACGGAAGTGTGTCCTCGGAGGCCGCAGAGGGCTGGGTGAAGACCAAGCTCCCTCGGGAGCTACAGCAGGGATCCAACTCCTCCAACTCTGGCCCTGAGGCTAAGTACAGGAACAGGAAGCTCTGTGCCGGCTCGGCCACCCCCTCGTGCGTCTGCCCAGCCTGGCACTGCACCCATACACTTGCCACCCACCCAATGCAAACAGGCCCCTCCACAGCAGCATCCAACAAGAGGCGGGGAGGTACTTGGGCACAGGGACGTCTTCCCACTCCCCACAAGGGGGCTGCGCTGCTCACCGTGCACAGAACTGTCCCTGTGACAGGGATCTGGGGAGAAGGAAAGGAAGAGGAAGAAGGCGCAGCTGAAGAAAGGGAAAGGGACCAGCAAGTGAAGGAAGCAGGAAAGAAGGACGCGTTGGGCTGGGCGCAGCAGCATCACCCGCGACTTGGTCTCCTCTCAGGACCACCTTCCTTGGCTACGGCCCGGGCCCCAACCTGAGACTCAGGCAGCTCAGATTTTGCACTTAACGCCCTAGAAAATGACCCCCCAGGACGATGGATGAAGGGTCGCCAGGAACATGGTGTGTTCTGCAGGGAGCACAGATGTGCAGGGTGCGCTCCCCCAGGAAGTTCCCTGCATCAGCTTGCACGGCACCAGAGCTGCCCAACCTTGGGTTGTACTCTCCTTCTCTCCTGCACAGTCACCACTGGTCTGAACTCCCTGTCACTCCCTCCTCCTACCCACATGCTCAGTTTTAGGGGCACTAGGATATGGGAGCCATGAGCTGAGAGCCACTGGCAGGGGCTGTGTCAGCCCCACCCCCGACCGTCACTTCTGCAAATACACGCCTAAAATGGCATTTTTGTTTTTCGTTCTCATTGCACATAGACTTTAGCTTTTCAGAGCAGTTCTAGGTTCAAAGCACATTTGAGAGGAAGGTGGAGATTTCCACACATTCCCTCCCCACAGCAGCCATGCATCCCCTCTGTCAATGTCCCCCACTGAGTGGCACGTTGGTCACCGTCACTGAACCACCTTAACAGGCATGATTCCAGTGAGTGCAAGTCCCATTAGGGCTCACTCTGGGGACATCCTGTGGGTTTGGGCGAATGCGTGATGACAAGCAGCACCATGGAGGGTCACATCCCCCTGCCCCAGTCCTCTGGGCTGCCTGCCCCTCCCTCCCCCACCAACCCTCCACAGCCCCTGCTGTTTCCTGTGTCACAGCGTTGCTTTCCCAGCATGTCCTACAGTTGGAGCAGAGCAGGGTGTGGCCTCTCCAGGCTGACCTCACTCACTCAGTGACACACTGGAAGTCCTTCCTTAACTTTCCAGGACTACATAGCTCACTTGCTCTCAGCACTGATGTCCCAGTGTCGGATGTCCCACCTGTATTCATCCACTCACCTACCGAGGGACGCCTGGGTGCTTCAGAATGACGTTTACCAACACGGGTCTGTCCTGGCACCCCGAGACCTCAGGAGCAGAGACTCCCTGCGTTCCCACACCCAGCCCCTGCCGCGGCTCCCTGGCTCCCTTCAGGACCTCAGTTCCACAGGCTCCATTGTGCTGGTCTGCATGTGTCCCCAGTGTGCCTCGGCCCAGGTGGACAGGGCTTGGTCTGGCTCGCGCACCTGGCATGCCATGCTGATTCTGTGGCTCTCGGCACATAAAGCTGCCGACACATACCGTGGAACATGGGACAAGTATTTAAACAGCCACAGACAACGGGGGACAACAGCAGCCTGGAGACCTCCAATGCAGCATGCTGAGGAAAGGTCAGACTCATTCAGAGTGATTCACAGAGCTATTTCATAGTATATAATATAGGGGAAATCTACTTTAGAGTACATACATACTTGTATATATAAATACATATATATATATATATATTGTATATATATTCATACAGTTATATAATGTATTTCTGGTATAACAAAAAAATATGAGGGGGCTGGGATTTAGCTTGGCTGGTAGAGTGCTTGCCTCTCATGTACAAGGCCCTGAGTTCAATCCCCAGCACCATAAAAAAAGGGGGGGGGGGGACTTCCCGCATTCTATTTTCATAAAACTATACTCATATTTATTTGTTACCATATTTTATCACATGTAACATGCATTCTAACTTCCAAGTTGTTAAAATAATAAAATAAAAAGACCCATAAGACACCATCATTTTTATTAGCTTTCTGTTTCTGTGACAAGTGTTTGAGATAAGTCAACTTAAAAAGAGGAAAGGTTATTTTGCCTTACAGTTGCGGACTTGTCAGTCCACGATCAGCTGGCCTGTTGTTTTCACCATACAGTGGCCCAATACATCGTGGTGGGGGTGCATGGCACAGGAGACCTGTCCTCCTGGTGGCAGCCAGAAAGCAGAGAGTAACAAGAAGGGACTGGGATCCCAGCATCCCCTTCAAGGTCACGCTTCTGTGACGTAACTTCCTCCTAGTAAGCCTCACCCATTAGAGATTCCCCCCCCACCTCCAATTGTACCAAGTGAGGGCCAAGGCTTTAATCCAGGGGCTTTGGGGGCACTCCAGATCTAAAGGACAATACTATCAATATTGCAAGAGTCGTCAGTTTTAAAATCTTGCTGCATTCTCCAACCTGTATGGCCAGCCACCCGACACTCAGTGGTATCAAACAACCACAGCTCATGTGCCCCCAGATTTCATGTGTCAGAGTCTGCACAGGACACCGGAGGGCTGGTGTCTGCTCCACAATGCCTGAGGCCTTAGTCAGGACGACTTGAGATTCTGCAGGCCACTCCAACCGCCAGGCTGGGCAGACTCAAAGGCTGAACTCAGCTACATCTATTGATTGATCACCTGCAGGTGTCCTCCGTATGTGGCTTGGGCTTCTCAACATGGCAGACGGGTCACAAGAGGGATCATTCCAACAGAAAGTGTGAGCCAGTCACAGTGGCAGGGGTTGGGGAGGCAGAGATGAGTCGATGGCACCCAGAGGACTTGGGGGCAGCGGAACTGTTCTGTGTGGCATTGCCATGGGAACACAAGTCATGACACATTTGTCCAAACCCACAGAATGACAAGATCGGCACAGTCTTGGTGGCTCGAACAGCAGAAATTTATTTCCCGTGGTTCTAGAGGCTGAAGACCAAAGAGCAAGAAGAGTAGGTGTCTATGGAGGCCCTCTTCCTGGTTTGAGACGATGTCTCTGGTTGTATCCTCACATGGTGAAGATGGAGGGACAGACAGAGGACAGGGACTCTCTGGCCTTCACTTAGAGCACACAGATGCCATCACAAGGCTCCACTCCCACCACCTGGCCCCCAGCAAAGCCCTCGCCTCTCTCTGTTTGCATGAGGTGTTCAGGTTTGTCATATGAATTCTGGGAATGGGGACATTCAGTTGGAAGCAGACAGAGCTACCGGCCATTTCTACAGCGTCACTCTGCCACCTCTACTGGTGACAAGTCAGTCCCTGAGGCCAGCCTGGCTCCAAGGCCTGGGCGAGGTAGCTAGACCCATGCTTTGGAGGGGTGGGGAGAGGAACAGGTCCCGGTGCAGAGCACGTGGAACGAGTTATCTCAATATTGAGATAACTGTGTGGTCATTCCTGGAAAATTCAGGCCACCGAGATGTTTAATTATGAAGGGATGCAGAGTACAAAGCGATTTAAATTGTGGCTTTCCACCACGGCTATTTCCAAACAGCATGTATGTGTGTGCATGTGCTCATGTATTCACTTATATATAGTTATTTATTTATAATGCTTTTAAAACCCGTGGTGACAGATGCTCTTACTGTGCCCTAAATGTCTGTTTGGGCTGCCACATTTCCTGCTCCCTGACAATTACTCTGGGCTGCATAACCATTTCTGGTCATCGGCCATGAGCAGTAGTGACTGTGGATTCCAGGTTGGCGCCTTCGAGACCAGCTGGGCAAGACCTCAGTCCTCTCTTCTGCTGCTGCAGTTGTGGAGGGGCTGTCCTGCTCCAAGCTTGCAGCTGCGAGTCACCAAACTGCAATTCGGAACGTGCCCCCCCCCACCTCACCACCTTGCCATTTGGTATGAGGTATGCTATGTGAGCAGGACTTAGCTTCATGGTGTCACACCTGTGCAACCTGAGGATTCATCTATTACTGCAGCAGAGCATCATGTTATCATAAGAATACAGATGCTGTGCAAGGTGTGGTGCTGCTGAAATAAAAACCAAAAAATAAAAATTATATGTATATATGGCATGGACTTAATCAGCAGTCGAGCAGCATCTGGCAAGAGGACGGACTGCAGAAGCTAAACGGTGCACGGCAGAATGGTAGTGAGTGCTGGTCACTAGTTGGCATCAGAAAGGTACAATGGGACAGATGGTGGGCAGGTGAGCTTTGAGTGGTCTGCAGATGCTGATGAATGAGAACAAGAGTGCAGAATCCAGGGCCTTTGCAGTGTTGGGCAACCCCATTGTTTCTAGATCTCAAAGAGTAACACACAGCACTTTGAGAGACGTTGAGCAATGAAAATGCAAGAAAACCTCCCAGTAGCCCCCATTAGGAAAGGGCAGACTGTG